GGTCCTAATGGCAGGAGGGTCCAGTCAGCGAGGGGCCAGGGCAGGCGCGGATGGGGGTACCGCCGAGGGGGAGCCTTGCGCAGGAGGGGGGGTTGGGGGAAGGGGCGTAAGGTAGCAGAGTCTGGGCAGGGGAGCCGTGGGGCATTGTAGAGGAGCTGGTTGCGGTGTCTGATGCAGCCCCGAGAGTTTGTGGGGGCCTTGGGAGGGGGTCTGCAGGCCGCTGTGGTACGGATGGGGTGGTGGGGACTCTGCGGGGTGTGCTGCGGGAGGCCGAGCCGTGGTACAGGTATTGTGCTCAAGGAGCAGCAGTAACTGGTGTGGTCTGGCTGTATGTGAAACCCGTGTACGTTTCCCTGGTACCTTTACTTGCAAAGGGTCGCCCATGACGAGAGGAAACCACGTAGCTCTTCCTCCTAAAGCACTAGAGAAGTTGTGGAAGATTTTGGTGGTAATAAATTTAGTGTTGCTGGGGAAAACAGCACTGCTTCAGCCACTGGTGGTTCAGATGTATCTTAAATGTCTTTTTGAAGATTATATCAAGTAGTTATTTTTTTCTAATACAATGCTGATAAATGATTAGTAGGGGAGGGAGGTTTGTCCAGCTGGCCTCAGTCAATGGAATAACTTGAAATTTACCCTGCTTTTAATTTCAAAGGATCTTTGTGTACGTAACCAATGTTTATACTATATTTACTTTGCATAGGGGAAATTAAAGGAGAGCTACTTTTTAATTTCCAGCTCCAAACTGAAGGTCCTTCCAAACATCAGACATGCTGGTTAACTTTGTGGTAATATTTTAATGTCAATCCTGCAACTAAGGAGTTTGAGACCTGATTGAGTATGATAGTTTAATACCTTCTTATTTTTTTCTATAATTTTCTGTATCCCTATTGGTACGATACGAAACAAGCTAGTATTTCAGATACTGATTCTAGTAATTTAATTTCACTGAAGCGAACTTGTTACATTATGTTTGTCATGATTTCCTGTTGATTGTGGCTTATTATTTATTGCATTCTGATTTAATATATTAATTAGTCTTGCTCTCCCTGGTATCTGAAGTTATCAGATGTTAACAGCTAAAATCTGTAACTTTCATATATGAAGCTTTAAAATTTTCATAACAGAATATTAACCCGTTTTTTGTGTTAGAGCAAATGTTAGATTATGTGTTCTCTACAGCTATTCAGCACTCCTGATTTTTATCAGAAATTGTAGGTCATGTGCTATGCAGGCAGGCAGTATGTAAGTGCATTAAAATATACTTCCAAGAAGCCACGGGCAGACTCTTGGATTCCATTTAGAATAAATGTATATGTTAAGGTTCACAGGTGTAGAGGTAGAGTAGATAGCTTGAGGCTGTGCTGAACATGTGATGCACCTTTGAATAATCTTCAGAATTCATTCCAGTGTGTTTTTCAGCCATTGCAACCTGAATCTAAGTCTTTTTTTTAACTATGTAATCAAACTGTGACTGAAAACTTTCTTGGGGTTTTAAATGTTATTAGAATAACTTTGTTTTTTCTCCCTGGCTACTTTTATAAGGTTTCTTCTAAGGCTTCCTATATTTAATTTTTTTTGTAGGATTTAAACTACATTTCCTCACCTGCTCATTATATTTATTTCTTCATGCTCTCCTTTTCTCCACTCTTCTGCTAGTTTTGAGGCCTACTTTCTTCATGCTCTCCTTTTCTCCACTCTTTTGCTAGTTTTGAGGCCTATGATGAGCTTTGTCTTCCCAGAGACTAGAGATGACTATACTGAAAGCTTCCCGGTCATCTGGAGTGATCAGGAGAGCTCTTCTTTCCATCTTAGTTGCTGAGTACATTTCCTACATAGTGCTATAATCTACCTCGCTTGAATTCACCTTGCTTCTGTATCTTCTTTAAAGTTTAGAATGTTGAGTTTCTGTAATTAACTTGGATGTCCCTAAGATTAAGCAGACAAAAATTTGCAGTTAAAAACAAAACCAAAACTGTTTCTTTCTTAGCTGGAATACTATACTTGTTACATACTTTTCCAGGTCTGATGTACTTGGTTACAGAAAGTAATTGACACGTCGTGTCCTTGCAGATGTTCGCATAAGGTGACAACTACTTTCCTGGCTAGAATGACTAGGTGGAGCTTGCTCTGGAAGTAAGTCAGAACAACATGTGATTAGACAATGGTGCTGAATAGGTTACTTTTCAGCAACCCAGTTTGCTTTTGCTCCCATAGGGAATTAGGTGTTCTGTGGCACTCATTCTTCATTACATTGTGAAAAAAAATATATTTCTATTTATCATCTGTATTGAGGTCTGTACAAATACTGGTTTGTACTGGGAAGAATCTAAGTTAATCTTGATTCTTAGGAAGAATCTAAAAAGTTGGGTGTCAGTTTGAGGACTTAAGTGTCCTGAAGTTAAGTTCTAGTAACACTTTTCTTCTTGGAACTTTCTCTTGGTAAGGTTTTGTTCGAGTCATAATTCCTTAGTAATTCAAAGGATGTTGTAGGTCAAGATAAATGTGTAGTAGCAGCATGGCATATAGAAAAATTCCACAGAGCTGATCTCCATTATGTGGCTGTGGTGTGTAATAGTGTTTCCTTTTATGCACACTAACTTCATGTTTTTAGTAATTTGTATAAAATTCCTGTCACTTATGTTTAGAGCACTGAAATAACAGTCACAGAAGCCATTTACGGAACACAATGTTAACTTTCTGAAATTGGGAAACTCCTGAGACCTGCATTCCAAGTAGTTTACTTTAAAACTTTTTTTATGCGTGCTTTTTTTTGATTGCAAATTGTATATTAGGGAGAATATCTGACCAATGTTTACCACTAATATAATTTTTGCTTGCAGATAGTTTCAGAATTAGTTTGGAATTAAATTATCATTTGATTATATGCAAAAAGCGTATGTTACTTAAATTTTTGAACCTAAGGAACCAGTATGTTCCAAATGTTGTAGCTGCAAGGACTTGCTTTTATCAAATTGTGTCCAAGTCAAACTCATTTGCGTAAAATCTCTCTTTGTTGGATTCTGTTGGAAATGTGAAATAGAGACTTCTTGATTTTCTGTCTGCAACAGAGATTGCTGTACCACAGTTCCTTCCAGTGACCATGTCAAGCATGTCACGAGCAAGTTGTGCTTCTAGGGAAACTTACTGTAGATAGCAGTTGCTGGACTAGCAAACTCAACTAAATTAAGGCAAGGTGTGGTAGTCAGTAAAATGACAGTAGATTGTGTTAGGGCATTCTTAATCATAACTGCACCTTGCAGCTTCACTGTTCTGTAGCATCTATGACTTTTTTTTTACTATGGTTTATTAATTTTATAAGTGTATATAAGATGTAATTGCATTTGAGTGACTTTTTGTTTCTATATCAAGGCATAGTTCAGAGGTCTAAGGGAATAGCTAAAACCTTCCCCCCCACCCCAGGATTAATAAGATTTCTATTATCTAAATTTTGTTTGGATCTCAGGTATGAGAGAAGTGAAAAATTTCTGAAAACGCAGCATCAACCTGCATTCTTGTGGTTCAATTTTTGTCATAATTCTTGAATATTTACAGGATTCTTGGTAAAATTGATCACAGCTTCCTTGTATGGGCTTTACTGTATTTTATGTTAGTTTTTCTTCTTTTTAGAAGTCATTTTTAAGTATTCACTGTTGACTTTGCTTGGAGGTAACTTCCTGGGGTCCCTTCCAACCTGAATTGTTCAATGATTTGAAGTATGCAGTGGTAAAAAAAAAAAGTCATTAGTACAAAAGTAACAAGAACAAAAAGTGTGTGACACATAGCAGCTAGTGTAAGAAAAGA